TAAAAGATCTTGGGTACCAGGCACCACTAGAAATCAATGCTACAGCATGTTTTCTGAAACGTTTGTCTCTTGACAGGTTCATATGATGATTCAGTTTATCAAAAATCAAAGCAGTACATTATGCAAAGTTATTCTTCAGTAACACACTCACAATATTAACAGCCTGTTGCAAAATATCAAGAAGCAGAGGTTTCATGCAAAGAGCACAGAAAAATTTCCAGAGTATGTGGTGGATATTTCAGAAAGTAGTGTGCCTCCTACTCAGGAGTATTTGTGTCAAAAAAACAAATGTAACTTCTTACATTTCTTAATCCATCGTGCTTTTATCATGAAGACAGCTTTATTCCTTTTCCTAATGACCGTTGTTCTTCATGTCTTTAAGCTAGTTTGTCAGACCCAAAACTATTATAGACATTCCCTAATCTAGAAAACATGGTTGTTTTTGGGCCAGATCTTTGGCAATACAAAGAAGTCACCTAGTTGTTTTAAACAACTGGAGATTCCTCTGGAATAAGGGAAATCCTGGATGATACAACACTGGCATAGCCTCTTCTATGCTACCTATCCTTGCTCCCAGCATAGGAAGCAGTGGAAAGGGGCAAATCAAGGGAAAGAAAGGGCATGTAGTGAATACCCTGTACTCTCAGGGCTCTGGGTCATTGAAATGGCTTCTTGGACATTGAACAGTGGTTGAAACAAGATAGACTAGGCCAAGATTAAGGTGACTTAACTTGGTGTAAGGGCTGGATCAATCCCTGGCCATGCCTTCAAAATCAAACAAAACAAAGGTGACACAATCCTACGTTCATCCTTCCCTTACTTGGTTATAGTGCCAAATTGCTTCTGTGATCTGGACTTTTGTCCACTGCAAACTTTGTATTCTAATTGGAAAGGAAACAGTGGGACATTAAGTTCGAGACTTCACCTTCTAAAGTGCCATCTAGCTATAGTTTAGCTTGCGTTCCTCCTCTGCTGATGCACTGGCCTGAGGTGGCTGTTTGGCTTTGTCATCTTTAAATTCTGACAAAAGGTTGCTTTTTACTGAATGTCAGAGAATATTTGCATTCAATAGAGAACAGATGCCGAAGAGGATAAAACAGGCGGGTGAGGGGGAGGAGTAGGGAAAAGGAAACACATACACACAATTAAGAGGAGCGAAGGCGTGGGAGAAGCTGGTCTGTCAGGGTTGTTTCGGGGCCCGATTCAGATGTTGGAAGCCTTTGGGAATTAGAAGGCAGATTCAAATCACTTGAAAGTACAGGTAAG